CGGATACGTGTTGAGTAAATAAAATGACCGTTCTATTGACGGCATGTTTGTTTTTTGCAATCCTTGTGCGCGCGCTGAATTGCATCACCAAAAGCGCGCGCGAAAACTGTGTTCAGCCACCTTAAAGGCCGTTACACACGAGGGAGCTTGCTCCCGCAGCACGCTCCTGCAACACGCTCCCGAAGCAAAGCTCCCTCGTCTGGACCAACGATTTCTTGCGAAAAAATATGTTACGCAACAAAACTTTTGCTCCCGAGTTTTGCTCCCTCATATCAAACTGGTTTGATATGAGGGAGCAAGCTCCAGGGGCAAATCTGTTGCACGAGTCTGTTTCAGAAGCAAGCTCCCTGGTGTGTACTGAAATTTGCTTGCCGTGCTCCAATCGGGTTGTTTCATCATTCAGCTCCCTCGTCGTGTCCTTCGTGTGTACTGGTTGGGGTACTTACCCGGGAGCGTGTTGCAGGAGCGCACTGCGGGAGGAAGCTCTTTCGTATGTACTGGTTGGGGTACTTACCTGGAAGCGTGTTGCAGGAGCGTGCTGCGGGAGCAAGCTCCCTCGTGTGTACCGGCCTTAATTAATTCAAACGTCGTTCTTCACATGCATTTAATTCTCGCATCAAGTTCGGCACATGTGAAATTCGACGTTTGAACCGGGCCTTACTTAAATTGAAACTCGATTATGTGAATAGAATGTAATGTGCATGCAACGAAAAATGCTTGTCTACTTTAGCTATATCGAGTCAACATACCAAGTAAGAAATTTTTATCAAATGTTAAGCTATCGACTCAGTTATAGAATGGCAGATCCAAGTTTCATTGCCATTGATGATATTTTTTGCAAAGCAATGTAACCTCTCCATGCTCCACTCATCAGGTCTTCTCAGTGTTGAAAGAGACCAGGGAAGAAATCAAGAGAAGACAAAGAAACTTGCTAGAACTATTCGAGAGCATAGACGCCTGTCTAAATGAGTTGAGTGACAAGGACTACGCACTTCTGGAGCTGGGAGTCAAAAATCTCAAGAACCAAATGGCCCACCACAAACAGAGACTAGAGAGAACAGAATACGCCGTGCTCGTTGCAGGTTGGTTACTTATGATAAGAAATTTTGGAAGCTCACAATTAAGTAAAAGTTGAAGCATGATCGTTTGTTGTAGCTTGAAGTTCTCTCCCAACTGTTTTATTCGCCCCCAGGCAGACTGTTCGCCACAGGGCTACGCCATTAGCTTACAAAGGAGTAGCGAGAGACAGGAAACGAAATGCTTGACGAACGTTATATGTCTTCCACAGTTTCTCCATGTCAATGTCTATTCCTAGTACCAGTCTTCACTTTTCCATTCCAGCACATTCTCCGTTTTAATCTTCGTGTCGTTCATGGCCAATCGGGCATAATCTTTGGGATTAATTTCCTCCCCCTACCTCCAAGTAGGCCTCATCATCGCTACAGTTTTCATAAGAACTTATTTTGCATGATCATGAGAAATATGAAATAACATCTTTATTTTTATTTCATTTATGAATACTTAAACCCAACTGATTTTGTGGATCATGTTTTCTTTAATCTGGCCGGATTGCTCTCGACAGGTGAAAGAGATTCGAAAAAGAGCACGTTGTTAAGTCTGATTCTTGGAGAACAACTACTCCCTGACTCCTTTCTGGGCACCTCTTCCATCATCTGCGAACTAAGATATGGAACAACCCACAAGCTTGTCGCGCACTTTAAAGAAGCAGATCCCGAGACAGGGCTTCACTCAAAGACTATCCAACGTGAAGAGATGGCTGAGAATTCTCAACAAATCTTTCTTCAACAAATCTCCTCGTTTTTCCCAAATCAAGATCGGTAAGGTTGTGATAAGGTTGAGATCTTTTGGCCAAACAACCTGCTGAAGGTTGGTGATAAGCAAGGCAAGCTTAGGGCTTAGTGTGCAATTTGTGAGCTGAGGGTTGCTAAAACTGAGCATTTATCAAGCATTATTCTTGGCAAAACTTTGGTCTTGCAGAGTACTATTCTTTGACGGATTACATCTGAAATATAACATATATCGTTTCCGTTCATAATCTAACCCTTTCATTGATAAAAAAATGTCTAAAGATAATTCCACAAGCGGCCCAAGCGTACTGTGTGTGATTTTGGGGTCTAAAGTTCATTAGAGGCAATACCTAACATATTAAGATCGAATTAAGCGTAAGTATGGGCCGTTAAAAAAGGAAAAATTGTGAAAAAAAAATTGAAAAAAAATTGAAAAGGATAATAAAAGCGAGGAATCAAATGTGGGAAGTCTTCTAACCTTTTTTTCCGTGGCCGCTTTGTTGCCAACGATCATTTTAACGCTGTTTTGACAACTTTCTTTGTAACGCATGCGGTGTCACCGGTCAACTGTATAAAAGGAAAAATTATAAAAAAAAATTAAGAAAAAATCAAAAAGGATGATTAAAGCGAGGAATATATCGTATGAAGTCCCCTTATCTTTTCCCCGTAAGACGGAGTGGCTCTCGGATCGATGCAGCGGAATTTGGAAACTTTTGCCGCTGAAACGGGTAGGTAATAGCTAAGCGTTCCCGCAGGTGGAAATTTGAGCGAGATCGGTCGACTTTTGTGCAATTTATCGGCCTTCGAGTGGCGACGGTTGGTGTTCGGGACCGGTGGAAGTTTCCAGCCCTGAGTTTTCTTATATACAATTGACCGGTAGCACGACGCGCATTACAAAGAAAGTCGCCAAAACAGCGTTAAAATGACTGTAAACGACAAAGCAGCTACGGAGAAAAGTAAGGAGACTTCATACGATATATCCTCGCTTTTGTTATCCTTTTTAATTTTTTCTTGGCTTTTTTTTTTAAATTTTCCTTTTATACAGTTGACTGGTGACACCGCACGCGTAACAAAGCCAAAACAGCGTTTAAACGACCGTTGGTACCAAAGCGGCTACGGAAAAAACGTAAGGAGACTTCGCACGTTTTAATTCCTCACTTTTATTATCCTTTTTAACTTTTTTTATAACTTTTTTTATAATTTTTCTTTCTTTTAACGGCCCACACTTACGCTTAAAATTCGATCTTAATATGTTAGGTACTGCCGTTTATGAACTTAAGACCCCAAAATCACACACAATGCGCTTGGACCGCCTGTGATGATTCAGCAACAACAACAACAACAATTACAGAAATATTGATCTAAAAAAGTTTAAACCTTTTTTAAGATTCATTTACCTATCATCCTTTTTCTGTTCTAGGAGGGAATCGTTATAGTTGACGGCCCATCAATTGGTAAATCACCCATCGAGGACGAAAAACTAAAGGTGTACCTTTCTGAGGCTTTCGCAGTTATCTGCGTCATTAACAGTTTAGCACAGCAACATGTGGTAAGTGGATAAACAGGTAGCGTCACCATACCCAACAAACAGTGCGTTCATTCTTTCATTCAATTGAAAAACACAATTACCCTGCTTCAGACAAACTCGTAGCCGCCTTTCTTAATATCATATTTGATAGATTAATGAGCAAAGTTCGCAAAAAAAGTTCAAATTGGTAATGATAAGCTATCATCACCATCATTTAATCAAGTCAATAACGTTACCCTTATTATTTTTATCAGTACAAGTAAATAGTGGCTTTCGCGCGTGCTAATTCGCTGGTTCGGTAGTGGATAGCAAGTAATCTTCACCCCCGAGCAGCTGATGAAAACAAAATTTCGCGTCAAGAGTTTAATTGCCGACCATTTTCGGTATTGTCAGAGAAATAAACTTATTTTTTGGTATTTGTGTGGTGTACACTAAGAAAAATTATTCACCACTGTGTCGTTAAAATTGGTGGATATTTACCTCCACTTCCATGAATAATTGTCAGCTATTTCTTTTGTCATCATTGCTATTACCATGGTCGTTATCATTTTCTTTTACCCTCCAAGGAATTTTTAACTCCACGTAATGTACGTTTGTTCTTAGATGGAAGAGCCAATCAAACAAAGCAGAAAAGTATGTCTTGATCAACAAAGGGAAACCTCGTCAATTTTTCCTCTTTTCCTGTGTAACAACTGGGATCAAGTATCTCAAGAAGAGGCTGACTCCATCAAAAATCACGTCATTGGGAAACTCCGAGAATACTGGCCTGAATTAGACCCAAATTCTCAAATAATTTACTTTTCATCGCCTAACGCCACAAACGGTGAAATAGATCCCGTGGAGTTTGCATTGCTGATGGATGGCATTAAATCCAGCGCCTTGCTGAACATTAAAGCAACGTTGCAAAGGCAGTGGAGGTACGTTCTGTTTTGACTAGAAGGTCTTGCAAAGCTGTGTAAGAATATTATAGCCATAACTCACGTCTCCCATTCTTCTTTAATTCTTTACCCCCTATTAAGAAAAGCAAAATTTTTCTGCTCACATATCTTGATCTAATGAGGTTCCCTCAGGTGCACAGTAAAAATAATTAGTTTATACAAAGGCAGAAGAAGAGAAAACTATCGGATATACTTTTATACTGATAAGGTTATTAGATGGTGCTTTTTAGATAAAACTTGATAAAAGTCATATCCCTAGGGTCTGAATGCACTTAAAATCACCACCAATATGTGTCTTAATTCCTGGTTAATTGTCCGACTACAGTCGAACCTACCTTCGACCACCTCTCGTAAGCGATCAACTCTCGTAAACGACCACTATTTCAAAATAACAAAAGTTTCTTAAGTCAAATCACATAAACGGAACCTCTCTTAAGCGACCACGTCTTATAAGCGACCACTCTAAGTGATGCTTGCTTTTAATTTTCAGTAATTGTTCTAACCAAACAAGAGGATGAGACCACTTTACAGAAAATCAGCTTTATCTCGCACGAGCGGAAACTGAAAAGTTTTTCAAAATATGTTGCAAAAGTGGAGCTGCCGCTAGTGTTTTCCGAAATAGCTCTAATATGTGAAAAGAGTATTGGAAGAATTTATAAATTACAATTGCAGGTTTAATCACAGGTACGAAAAAAGACTCTTTCGGGTGGTCGCTCACGGAAGGTTCGACCGTAGTTCATTTCTTCAAATTTCATCCACACGGAATGACAAGAAACGTTTTTGGCGAAGAAAATACTTGAAATTTCCATGCTATCCTCTTTTAGGTGGCTTAACCTCGTCATTTCACGTATGGCATACCACATGAAAATGATCAAGGATCACATCTCTGGTGATTTACGCCTTGATAAACGCCTTTGTGACATCGAGAAGCGGTTGCACTCAGTAGAAGAAGAGATGCAGGAGCATTTCAGAAAACTGGCAGACGACGCCGCAAGAGTGCTGTCCAAACACCTACAGTCTAGAGAAGTAGTGGAAAAATTTACTTCGTGGACGCTTGACGATATTCCAAAAACTGAAAGTAGTTGGGAGGTAACCGAACATTTCATCCAAGATGCATTTACGAAGCGACTTCAGAACACGATTGCCGCATGGGAAGACGAGAACCACATTTTGTCCTACACTCACAGCTGTCTGGTCCGTTTCTCCAACCAGCGATTTGAGGAAGGTAAGAGTCTACTTCCACTCAGATACCTGGAGAACGCCGTCATTTCGGATGATCCTGCTAGTAAATCAAATATTTGCATGTCTTCAAACGACTTCGACGCGGCCAAAAAAGTTCTGATCGGGGTTACAAGTCCAATATGGGTTCCAGTCAGCGTAGTTTTATTCCCGATCTTTGGTGTCGTGAGACTTAAAGAGGAATTAAAAGAAATGATAGATTCAACAAAATACGAGAAAGATACAAGTAGCTTCATCGTGAAAGCTTCCCGTAAATTCCTCCGCCATGCGACTAAAGAGCAAGAGCTCTGTTCGATCGTGAAAGAGCGGCTGAAAGATGCTCAGGATTACCTTACGCAGGTTTCATCTCGTTTGCGCGAGCTCGTAGCCGCTGACAAGATGCTATATCACCAGCTCCGAGATGAGACTCGCCCAATAGAGAAAATCCAAAAATTCTATGGCGATTTAGAAGCAATGAGTGTAAGATTAAAAGAGAAGTTGGCCCTCTTTTTCATTAAAGAAGTACAGAACATGGTAATAAGTCGTAATGACTTGGAGTGGGATCGAGGCGATCAAACTTCACATCTTGGAATAGGAGTATTCGCTACAGTTTATCGAGGAACATTCAGGATACCACGACAAAGAGAACCAACTCAGGTGGCTGTGAAATTGTGGAATAAAGAACTAAGCGAATCCACCGCGATTGGCTTCCTTTCTAAGACAGAAACACTAAGGTTAGTTGTTCTTGGTATCAGTTTAACGCTGGAAGAGGTCGTGAACTCAATTTACTATTTATCATGTATCGTGAATGTTTTTTAAGGATCAAGAAGGTTTTTTACTCATCAAAATAGCAGTAACCAATCAAGCAAGCCTTTTCTCGCAGTCAAGAACATATTATTCCGAGTTGAAAACTCCACTGAGACTTTTCCCGTAGGTCTTTGCAGCCTAAAAATTAAGCTTGCGCAGCGAACGCAATCCCCTTCTAGGTTGTATTTAACGAAAAGTATTGAACATCAAATAAAAATTAATATATATAGAAGCAGTAACTATATATGCATATCTATATAAGGGCTGTCTAAAGTGGAATTTTAATTTGGTTGGACAACATGAGAAATATAAGTCATTAGCTAGAGCGTTATAACCTAGCAGTTGAAAACACCGAAAATGTTTGGGCACATTAACATTCAAACGAACTTATATAATTTCATAAGACAGGTAGATATTCGTGACCATATTTTTTTGTAGGAAGCTTGACTTTCGCTTCATCGTTAAGTTCTTTGGGACTGCATTGCTAAGGGAAGACGGTCGATGGCGGGTGTTCCATGTCATGGAAATGTGCGAGGAAAACTTGATGAATCACATTTTACAGAATCGTAAAAGTATACCTGCTTTGTCCGTGCTGTGTTGGGCTAAGGACATAGCTGAAGCTATAGAGTTCATACATAGTCAGGGTATTGTTCACCGCGGACTCAAGCTGGAAAAAATTTTGGTGAGTTTCAACTAAGGCTCAATTTTTTTGTGTATGTTATAATTTCTACGATGGTTTTGATTTCAGTCTGCTTGCAAGGGTCGGTTAATGACTAGTTATGTAATTCACTGGTCAAAGTGAGATTAAATGTATTAAATGCAATAGTTGTTGAAAATCTGCTTACGTGCTCATTAGTTCACAACGTCAAGTGACGAACGGTTCCAAGTCAGTCTTGCAGAAAAGGCCTTGTAGCTCCTAAAAGGCCCGAAAATATTTTCTGGTTATGGCATTAGCGTTATTTCTTTACCTCTCTTCATAGCTTTCACAAGGAAATGTCATTAAGGTCTCCGGTTTTCGCCTCCCTGAAGAGGCTAAGATGATCACAGACATGTTGACGAGAACCGACGCTAACCTCACCCCGGAAGGGATCCCTAACAAAGAATATGATGATAAGGCTGAAGAGGAAGAGGCTAAAATGCTCACAGACACCTTAAAGGGAACCAAAGCTTACCTCGCCCCGGAAGTGATCCTTAACAAAGAATATGATAACAAGGCTGACATATACAGCTTTGGTATAATGCTTTGGGAGATGTGGTATGGTGAGAGAGCCTTCCTTGAAGAAGGACATGCGTTGGACAAAGTAGTTAAGGGTGCAACACCTTCACATGTACAAGACGACATGAGGCCTTCCACTGGCTGGCAAAATCTTATGCAGCGTTGCTGGGATGGAAAACCCAACAATCGACCAGATGCGGCAGAGTGTCACAAGGTGTTAACTAGGCTCTCCCAGAAAGTGTATCCACCATCGCCATGAACACTGGCTATCAGGGAGCCATCTTAAGCATATTTCACACTCAAAAATAGACCTACAGGGTAGAACAGCGGCTAACTTTCTGATAAGATAATCCTTCTGATTTTCGTGATGTATCATTTTCAACATGTGCATCTTTTCTTAAGCATTTTTTTGTTTTGTT